CTTTGGGGTAGGGCTGGGAGGGGTCTCTCTGGGGGAGCTTGCCCAACCCCCCTCTCCTCTCCAGGCCCCCCCTTTCTCTGCTTCCCCTCTGCTTTCCCTGAAGAATCTTGTCCCAATCCCTGCTGCAGACCCAGAGAGAGGAGGGAAGTAGCTGGACCTTCTACTCTACGGATGACCAGGGCTGGGAAGGAGGTGGGCAAGAGTTGGGGGGGACTCACCGTGCCCACCCCCCTGTCCTGGGGCTTCAAAACTGGAACATGTGGGTGAAGCATCCATGAGGGAGGCCCGATGAGGTCCATCATTTATGTCCATGTCACCTTGGGGCCCCTTGAGGCCCCTCCTGACCCCCGGTCCATACCTGTTGGTTAGAGCTCTCTCCCCTCTACACAGCTGCTCCCTGAGGGGCCTTGGGGTCCTCTTGGGGTGTCTGGGTGATGTCACTAGTGCAGGGACTCTCTCCTGCTCTTCCTCAAGCCTTCAAGTCCCTTGTGACTCTAGGCTGGTGGGGGGCTCACGGGGCCCCGAGTCCTCTCTCTTACTTGGTTCCTATTAGTCCTCACTTCCACGGAATCATTCTTAGATTTGACATTTCTTGGAAATTCATAGGTCCAAACCCCACCGCTTGCTCTCATGAGAGGGGAAACTGAGGCCAGGGCTGGGAAACACTCATTCAAGGCCACCGAGAAGGCTGATGCTGAGGGTCAGGCTGACGGACTGTGCTAGCCTCGATTGGGCAGGGACATAGCCCTGGAGTAGAGATTGGACTTGGGTTTGGATTCGTTGACCGGGACCTGGGTCTATACATTGGCACCTGGGCTTGGATGTGGTTTAACCTGAATCTTGGACCAGACAAGAACCTCAGACATTGACCCTGACCTCAGCCTTCGAGCTGGTCCTGGATGGAACGTCAGACACAGGGCGTGAACCTGGGCCTCTGACCTGTCTCTGACCTGGACCAAAACCAAGATGACAGGGGAAGTGGGGCTGGAGGGGACCAAGACAGGCCGTCGTCGGGCACCTCCCCAGCCTTCTCCAGGCTCCCTTGGTCATTCGGGGAGGCCTTTTCCTGCCCTGTGCTCAGGAGTACTTTCTGGGTTGGCTGGAGACTGTGGGCCAGGCTCACGGCGTGGCCGGAGCGACTCTCTGGCACCAGCAAGGAGAGGGGAAGGCGCTGCGGCATCACGTGGTCAAGGAGCCAAGCCCACAGGCGGCGGCAGGAGCGGGTTCTGTCGGCAGAGAGGGCAGAGGGGGTTAATGGAGCCGCCCAGGGCCGGCAACTGCCTTAGCCACATCGATCCTCCCTGCCGGCTCAGCGGAGGTGCGCTGAAGAGTAGCAGGACCAAGTAGGGGCAGAGGGTGGCACGTGGCTCCTGGTTGCAGCTCGGGGTCAGGGGTGAGGGCACCAAGTCCTGGGCTGGCTTGGTTGTTCCCTGCAGGAACCCACGGACCTACAGGCACCAGTGCCCGGAAGCTGGGCTCAGGGCTCGGTGCTGGAGGAGATCAGAGGCCCGGGCAGGCGCCTCGCCGAGGGCTGAGTCTGCACTCAGCCACCCATGGGAGACGAGAGGAAGGGAAGCTGCTCAGAGGCCGCCAACAGCCGCGCTGAGCACCGGGAAAGAGGCCTCAGGCTGGCAGGGGGAGGAGGAGGAGGCCCCAGGAGATCTGCTGGCTCTGGTTCAGCAGAGTGGTGGGGTGGGGGTCCCAACAGGGGGCTTCCTCTTCCCTGTCTAGGGGGTCTGTGCGGGGAACCTGGAGCCTAGGACCCACTTCCGCCTCGCCCGGCCCACAGAGGCTGAATCGGGACATGACACTGTGCGAGTGTATGTGAGTGCCCGTGAGTACGAGCGGGTGTGTGAAAGTGTATGTGAGCACGCGTTTTGTGTGTGTGTGCAGGAGTGTATGTGTAAGTTTGTGCAAAAGTGTGTGAGCATGTGTTTATGTGTGTATGCATGTGTGAGTTTGGAAGTGTATTATGTGTGAGGGCATGTGTGAGTAAATTTCGTGAAAGTGTGTGTCTGAGTGCATGAGTGTGAGTGTGTGTGTCTGGCATGAATGAAAGCGGTGTGTGAGAGTGTGTGTAGTATGTGTGTGAGGGAACATGAGTGTGTGTGTGTGTGAGAGAGAGGGAGAGAGAGAGAGAGAGAGAGAGAGAGAGAGAGAGAGAGAGAGAGAGTCCTCCAGGAATTGTCCTACCTCTCCCAGGCATTCCCTGAACTGGGTTAATCTGCGGTCCTGCACCTGCCTCAGTTCTCTGCCTGTGACCCCCCTGACCTCCACATTCCGCTCTGTGCCCTCAGAGATCTCCCGCTCCATCCGCCTCCATCAGACTGGCTTGTAAGAGGATCTTTCTAATAACTGCACTATCTCCAGCCCCAGGCCCTCCCCGCCTCCTCCCTCCTCCCCTCCCTCCCTCTCCTCACCTCCCCCCTCCTCTCTTTCTCCTTGTTTACCCAGCACACTTACACACGCTGGGAGAGAAAAAACGTCGGCTCAGCAATTTTTCACACTTCCCTCAAATGCTCAGCAAGGTTATTTCCGGCAGAGTGGAGACAACGGGCCCCTAGGAGCCAGCGAGCTCTCAAAGGACCCGCAGCACCTCTACTCAACAGGGGCACGAGGGGGCCCGAGCCAGACCACTCCCCAGGGATGGAAGAGGCCCCCGAAATCAGGAAGGGCAGACCCTGTGTTTCTGGGCCTCTGAGGTCACCCTGGTCTCCAGCACTAACCAGATCCCGCAGAGATGGCCACGGCTGGTCAGTCGGCCGGGCACCGGCTCTCGCCACGGGGCAGCTTGCAGAGGTGGGAGCCGAGAAGGGCGACTCTCCCCTTAGCCAGTGCTGGGGGTGAAGAGATCCCCACCCAAACCTGCCAGTGTCCACTGCTTTGGGTTGGACCCCCAACCAGGTAGCTCTGGTGCCGCCTAACCCACACTTGACCTTCACCTCACCGGAGCTGAGCTTGTCAAAGTCGGAAGGGTACTTTGTTCCTTCTACCCCAGCATCTATCTTTTTTTCTTTCTTTCTTTCTTTCTTTCTTTCTTTCTTTCTTTCTTTCTTTCTTTCTCTTTCTTTCTTTCTTTCTTTCTTTCTTTCTTTCTTTCTTTCTTTCTTTCTTTCTTTCTTTTTTGCCTCTGGGAAGACAAGAGAAGGGAAGCGACTTGCCCAAGGTCACACAGCATGCCAGAGGTCTGTGACCCAGGTGTCCCGGAGCTGCAGGCCAAAGTGCAGGCTCTCACGACTGAGGATTTCCCTGAGATGGGGGGTAGTTGGGCCGGAACTCTGGGGCAAGAGCCAAAGGTGGTTGGGAAAGGTCATTGGCGGTCAGCCCTGACACACCCCCAGGCTATGCTCTGAGCCAGCATCTCACTTTCACTCAGAGCACCACCACCCTGCCTGGACCCCTTAAAGCATTTTGGGATTGAAGTCAAGGCAAGAGTAGCTGCCTGTTCCGAGAAACTGCACAAGGGGGCAAGCTCATCCGACGCTCCTCCACTTGCGCTAGGAAAGGCCCAGGGGCTCCTGGGCGGGGACCCAGAGCTTTGTGTCAGGCCCCCCAATGGACCTGTGTCCCAGCCTGAAGCTATTTCCGCTCCAGCTCCCTGCACACACTCCCGGACCTGGCACGGCCCCAGGTCCACTCCCAGCCCCGCCAGCCCTCAGCCAAACCCTGTCATGTTTCTGAGCTTCTGTTCTCAACCCCCGAAGCCCTTGGGGTCAGGACAAGAGGACAGTGGGTTTGGGGACACTTGGCAAAAGAAGAAGAGGCTTGGGTCCTGCTGGGGATCACGGGCTGTAACTATCCCACGTCACTCCCTAATTTCTTTGACCTTGATGAGGTCACAAAGCCCTTTACCGGACGCCCTCTTGCTACCTGGCTTGGCAGAGTGATGGAATGTGGGTGAAGTGCTCCGAGACCCCAAAGGGAGGAGCAGCGGCTCTCCAGGGCCCTGGACACCTCAGCTCCCCCCACCTCATCAGCCCTGTCTTTTCTCCTCTTTCCTTACTCTCTCTCTCTCTCTCTCTCTCACACACACACACACACACACACACATACACACACACACTCACACACACACAACTCAAAGCGGATGCCACATGCCATGTCAGATCTCTCCCCTCAGTAGGCATGGCCCCTGCTAGGGACCTATCAACCAGAGACCCTTTTTGTGACCGTCCTTGGGGGGGTCCCCATACAAGCGGTCAGGAGTCAGGAGTGTCCCCCCTACCTCACAGGGGAACCCCTTTGGAGCCGGCTGAGTCCTCTCCCCCAAACCCTGGCGCCTGCAGGAACTTGCTCTGAGTATGGAGTACATGGGGGGCGGGGGACGGCAGGGAGCCTCGGGGCTGGCCGTGGAGGTGCTGAGGAGCTGGGGGTGGGGGTGTGAGGAGGCGAATGACCAGGAACTGCTTTGGGGAAACCCCTCCCTGAAAGCCCCCTTTCCTCCCTGTCCCCAGGACAGGCCCAGCCTTCAGGCAGTCAGTCATGTGGCTGAGGGTAACAAAAGAGTTGCGGAGAGAGGGGCCAAGATCACTTGTCTGGCATTGCCAGGAGGGGTGGGATGGAAGGGAATCAGGGTCCCCGGCTCCCAGCGGGCGCCCCCCCCCACCTCCCGGGGCCAGTCAGTGCAGGCCCACTTACCTTCCCTAGCGGGGTCGCCCCCTCTCCATCTGGGAGAGGGCCCACCCTCGGAGCGCCTGTGCACCCCCCACCCCCGACCCCAGCATCAGCCCTTCAGGGTCGCTTCTCTCTCCAACCCCCTTCTGGGGCCACAACTTTCAAAGTCCCGGGGCTGGATGGGGCGACCCGGCGACTTTCCCTTTGTGGAACCCACCGAAGCCCCTGCCGCGCGCGCCCGCCGGGGTTGGAGTGTTGTGTGTGTGTTGGGGGGGGGGGGGGGAGGCCGGGTTGAAAAATCTCGGGGCGGCGCGCACACCCCCTCGGCGTGGCCGCGACCCCCCAGTCCTCGCCCTCCCCTCCCCCACCGGCTCCCACTCACTCACCGCTGTCCCCGGGCGGCCCCCGGGCGCCAGGCAGCACGTAGGCGGTCTCCAGGGGGTGGTAGGTGGGGGCCGGCACCCCGCTGCACTGGAAGCCGTCCCCTTTGATCTTCTTCACCAGGAAGGAGCGCGGCATGGTGCGGCCGGCGCGGCGCGCGGGCTTTCAGCACTGGACAGCTCCCCGCGGGCGGCGGCGGCGGCCCGGGCTCGGCCTCGGGCTCCGGGCTCCGGGCTCCCCGCTCCCCGCTCCCCGCTCCGGGCTCCCGGCTCCGGGCTCCGGGCTCCGGGCTCTCGGCAGCGGCGGCGGCGGCGGCGGCGCGCAGACGGGCGGGCGCGGGCGCTGTGCGCAGCTCTCGGGCTGCCGGCTTTATATGGGACGCAGGCTGGAGGAGATCAGGTGGTCCCCGAGCAATGGAACTGTTCAGCGCTCTAATCCATCAAACGTCCCCCAGGACAATCGCTCCGCACACGCGTCCCCGCGAACCGGCGCAGGAGGTGGGGGCAGCCCCGGCGCAGCCAGAGAGCGAGCGAGCGAGCGAGCAAGCGAGCGGGGCGGGCAGGAGGGGAGAAAGTGAGGGCGAGAATGGCTCAGAGATAGAGAGACGGAGAAGAGAGGAGGAGGAGGAGGAGGAGGAGGAGGAGGAGGAGGAAGAGGGGGAGGAGGAGGGGGAGGAGGGGAGAGGGAGAGAAATAGGAGCAGAGAGAGAGGAGAGAGAGAAATAGGAGCAGAGAGAGAGAGAGAGAGAGAGAGAGAGAGAGAGAGAGAGAGAGAAATAGGAGCAGAGAGAGCCCGAGATCAGCACAAAAAGACCCGAGAGAAGCAGAGAAAGAAGAGAGACAGAGAGAAGTAACCTCGTACACTCACACACACCACGGGAGGCAACCACACACACATACGCACATACACACACACACACACACACACACACAACACAGACCCCCCAGGGGTGCAAAGAAAGGCAAAGAAAAGTGTGAGATGGAGAGAGGGAGAGAAGCCTTGGAGAGAGGAGAGCGAGCCGTGGGAGCAGGCGGGGTCCAAGCACATGGGGACACAAGGAAGGGTTGGGGGTGTCGCACTAGGAAAAAGTGTGAGATCCACGGCAGAGACCCCCTCCGCCTGCGGTCCTGTCCCTGTCCCCCCAGTTCCGAGTGACCGATGAGGGCACTGGCTTTAACTAGAGGGAGTCATCGCTCCTCCTCCCCTCTCTGTCTTCCCACCTAAGAAGCCCCCTATTGGGTTTGGGGTTCAACTTTCTTCTGCCAGAGCTGGAAAGGGGGGGGGGGGAGAGCAAGTCTCCAGTCCTGCTCTGGCGCCCAGCTCAGGCGGGCACTGCAAGAGGAAGTGAAAATGGTCCAGTAATTAATTTCCCTGCTGCCGGGGGTGGTGGTTTTGACACATCCGAGGCTGTGTCTTTCCCTGAAGCGGGGAGCAGACAATAGAGACACGTGGACTGAGAAGGGAGAAGGGGGGCGGGCGGGGGAGCGGGGCTCCCGCTGGAACTCTGCAGGTCAGCTCCTTTGTCTCCGGGAGGATATCAGCACATCCCCACCCCCGCTCCCACCCCAGCCTCCCGCCGCGGGAGAACTCAGCCCCCTGCCCGGAGGCTACTTGGCCAAGTGCCATGGGGGTGGGCTGGCCTCAGCCAGAGTGGGGTGGCCCGTGCGAGAGAGTTCCGGAACCAGACTCCAGGAATGCTGGCATCCCATTGGTTCCCAGCATGTGTTCTGCTTATGGGCTCCTGGGTGGAGGTGGGGGGGAGGGGGTGTCCAGGGCGGGCTTTTGGGATGGGGTCATCCAATGCTGTTTAGGAGGCTGGGGACCCAGAAAGGTCCAAGAGGTGTCCAAGCTCTCATGGTGACTCAGCAGAAATTTCCAGAGACCCTACTTGACCTTTCGGGTATCCCTAAATCAAGGGCTAGCCCCCGTCTTTTGCAGCATGGCATGGAGACCTCAGATAAAATCTGGACTGTGAATTTTGCCGAGACTGTGCATGGTCTGGAAGGACCCACACACCTGTCTACTTGTGTAATTTTACAGTTGTGTTTGACCTTAATATGTGTGTCCCCTGGCACCTTTCTTTTTTACCACTGTCACCAGGATTTGAGGTGACCGCCCCACCCCCACAAACCCATGGCCCAGCCCACTGGTCGCTACTCTTGCCACATAAGCCTGGTTTCAGAACCCTGCAGTCGCCCTGGGGATGTGGCCCAGGCCAGCTGGAGACAGGGCTCTGTGTTGGACTGTGATGTGCAGTAGGATGCACCTTGGGAGCTGCTCTGTGCCTCAGTTTCCCCATGAATGAAATGGGTGTGATCTAAGTGCAGGGTCTGCAGGGAGCCTCCTAGAGTCATGCATGGGAAGGGCTTGGCACAGTGCCCAGCGGCTAATCGGGGCTCGGCATATGTGGTTTTTCTATGTGCGGCTATGTGGGAGTTCCCAGACCCCACTTAACACGTGTACGAGGTTCCGAGAAGTCAGCGGTGGCCCAGACAGCCCCTCGCCCTGGCTTCCGTGGTGCTGGTGTTCCAGGGACGATGGCTGGAACCCTCGGTGTAAATGCTATGCTTTCAGATGGTGTCTGGGGTCGGGACAGACAGGAAACAGGGTGAGTGATAGAGAAGAATGGTCATGTTCCTCGGAGGGGTGACAAGCTGAGTCTTCAGGGAGAAGTGACATCTGGGAGGATCTGTCAGCCTGGGAGTGAGCCGGGGGAGATGCAGAGACCTCCAGGAGCGAAGGCTAAGCAGGACAGGGGTGGGGGACAGCAGGGAGGGGAAGAAGATGCCTTCAGACCGGAACCCTGAATCAGAGTTGGGGTGGGATGGAGAAATGAATGACTGCAGGGATGTGATTCAGCCTTTGACATGGGTCTATTTCTTGGTTTGGGGAATAACTTATTCTGCTGTTTGTGTGGACAAATAATTGATAATGACTCCAATAATAGTCTTTTTTTTTTTAGTTTCGTCTGGGTCCTGAGTGCCTAGGGCAGTGGGTGATATAGTCGGATGGCTGCTCATGGACACTGCTTGCCTGGTGGTGGTAACGCAGTCCAGAGCATCATGGATGTCGAAGCCTCACAGACATCACAGTGACCTGGGGACAGGCCTGGGACAGGACTTCTACCTCAGGTCTTCTCACTAGGCAGGATGGAGGGTTATTGTCCCCTGCAGGGACAGGTGGAGTCCCCTCAGAAGTAACCCTATAGCCTGTTAGGGTCAGGATAGGGTGAGATCCGGGTCTGTGCCAATGGGCTGGATGTGTCATCAGACCTTCCATAGGGAAGAAAGCTTCAGTCCGGCTAATGAAGTTCACAAGTACCTACAAAGGCGGAGACCTTCCACGTGAGAGAAAGACACAATTTCATCATGAGCACCCAGAGAATGGGCTTTAGTCCCCCAGATGGCCCCCAGCACTGGCTTCCTGGTTTCAGACATTCACTCTTAGGAACTCACATCTCTGAGTCTTACCTGGTAAGAAGAGAACTTGGTTCAAAGGGATGTTGGCTGCGGTACCAGAGACGGAAAGCCTGGTGGCATATTCTGCAGCCATGAGAATAATCAGATGAAGGAAAGCGCAGAGAATTCCGGTGTGAAGGAGGCAGAATCCAGAAGTCACTCACAGCATGTTCACAACTAGAAATAAAAATAAAACAAACATGCACAGAAAGTAGAGCAGGAAGCTGGTAGGACAATGGGTCTCCCCGCTTTTCTTTGTGCCTGCCTTCCTTCCTTCTTTCCTTCTTTCCTTCTTTCCTTCCTTCCTTCCTTCCTTCCTTCCTTCCTTCCTCCCTCCCTCCCTTCCTTCCTTCCACCCTCCTCTCCTTTCTCTGCTCCTCTCCTTTCCCCTCTCCTCTCCTCTTCTCCCCTCCCATCCCTTCTCCTCTCCTCTCCTCTCCTCTCCTCTCCTCTCCTCTCCTCTCCTCTTCTCTCCCCTCTTTAATGTGTGCCCATTAATTTTCCAATAAATTTATTCCATTCATTATTTACAAAATAAATATTCCATAAATTATTTTCATTCAATACTTATCTTGAGCACTTGCTAACTACTATCTGCCTCTAAAAAAAAAAAAAGACACAATAAAGCTTTTTCTTTTTCCTGTTTGGCTTATTTGTTTTGGTTTGGGGCCACACCTGGTGATGTTCAAAGGTTACTTCTGGCTCTGCACTCCTGGTGGTGCTGAAGGGACCATAGGGGATGCTGGGGGTCGAACCCGAGTGGGCCACGTGCAAGTGAAATGCCCTACCTGCTATACTAGCTCTCCAGCCCAGGACATTCATTCTCCTGGTGGCAAAGTTCCTCATCCATGATAATAACTATTGCATCAGCGCCATTACCGAGGGTCTGAACACTTGTCTTTCACAGAAAGAAGCTGGTCTTAGCCAGGGGCTGAAGACGAAAAGGATTCGAAGTCAGCCTGTTTTCAGATGGAGTGCGTGCTCTGCTGTTACCCAGATGAACGCTTCTCTCTGCTCCTGTGTCTGCATCTGTTCAGAGGGGATATTGATGACCGAATGATAATGGGCCTCTGAAGAGCCTAGAGGAGGCCTTGGCACACAGTAACTTGACGTGATACATGTTGACTATTTTTGTTCCTTTTTTGGGTCACACCCGGTGCTGTTCAAAGACTCCTCCTGGCTCAGGAGTGACCCCTGGTGGTGCTTGGAGGAACATCTGTGGTTGTGGGATTGGGCTGGGATTGGCTGGACGCAGGGCAGGCCTGTTAACCCCCAGGACTATCTCCCTGGTCCCAAATGTTGACTGTTTTTATTCACCACCCTCTGATCTTAGCTTCAGTACTGTGGCAGGGGAGAAGGGTTTGTAACTGGCCCCTTTACTGATGGGATGAGTAAAAGGTTTGAAGTCACGAGGTCTCTGTGCTGAGAATCCCAGGGGGCCCCCACACCCATAAGGCTTACTGGCCACCTCCCCTCACATGTGCGAGCTGTGGCTCAACCTTCCCTCATTTCCTCTGTTGTTCTCCACAGTTTGGCTCTGCCCGGCCCATCTGATCTGGTTCATTTCTGGTGTCTCGGTGTGATGCTAGGGGCTGGCAGGGCCACCCCAGCCTCACTCTGACACCTAGAGAGAGCAGGGCATGGGTCTGACTTGCAGTTTCTCTCCAGGAACCAGGCACCCCACTTCCAGCACCACCTCTGCTCCCTCTGTTTCTGGCCTCCAGCATTCTTATCTGTCCAATGGGCCCAGCCCCGCCATCACCATTGGTTGCACGGAGTTCACTGGCACTGAGTCCTGTATGCAGCCCAATGAAAAGAGTGCGTGGCCGCAAGTGTGGCCGCGCCCACCTGCTGGGCGCCTTCCCGGGCAGCCCGCTCCCTCTTCCCGGAGCTTCTTTCCTGGTGTCTTTCTGCCAGGCCTCCTCCTCTGAGCCGCAGGAAGAAGGTAGGAGAGGAAGCACAACTGGGTGCTGGGGTGACTCACGATGCCCACCTGCCCAAGGGCTCATGGCGTGGCCTCAGGAATCTGATCCGTGCTGCCACGGCTCCTTGTCACTGGGGTCCTTCAGGAAGCCGTCC